TGCATTGCAATGCTCTTCACAGCCATGTAATTACAGAAAAGCTAGCACTGCTAGCACACCACAGGTTGCAGCACTTCGCTCATCACAGTGGTCTGCTCCTGACTAACATAGAAATCATGATTTCTCCCAAGACCACTTATTTTCTCATTCAAGCCTTCTTCTGATTCCTGTAAGGACCTCAGATGAGGAAAAAATAACTCAAAGTAACAGGACCTTAGCCACTTTAGGACATTTTTAGGACAATGCATATAGTCACATTTAATGTTTTTTTCTGTCCAACTTTTGATCTAGTACTAGAAAATGCTCTCCTATAAAAAAGTACCACATCTCTTTCTATGCTACAATATTAAACTAGAAGATATTTATAATATACAGATACCCCTCATTATCCCAGAGAGAAAACTACAACATATTTATCTCAATACAATCAGATTTTGTAAAAACAAACGAGAAATACAGCACAACATAAGAAAGCGCATTTAAGATGACAGCTTATATACGTCTGCTGCTCTTAACACAGCAAGGGATGTGATTGTCTCAGCTCTCTGCATTAGTAAAGACCAGAACGTTATGATTAGCTTTACAACTGCTACACAGAGAGTCCCTACTGTATTAATGACACTAAGACTGAATGTTCCCTCTTTGAAATGTCAAGCACAGGCTAGAAGCTGGTTGAAGAACAGACTCACAGCTTTCCCTTCAAACTACAATATCACCTACAAGATAAGGCAGCATTTAAATGAAATCAGGGCTTTACTGAAGACGAGAATGTAAGAAAAAGCTCAGAACCATTGTTGTAATACAATGAAAACTGAAGATTTTCTGCAGTGCATATGGCAGCTAAGTGCCTGCATTTATGCCTTTGAAACCCCTCCTGAAGGCAATTGGGGATTTTTTTTTTTTTTATAGAGAAGAAAAATCTCTTTCTGTATAAAAGGGTATCTGATCACTTTCTGAGTAAAATAAAAAAATATCAGAAATCCTGACATGCTGTATGTCTAAGAGTCTGAAATACCTACCAGAACAACTGAAGGAGGCGAAATACACATAGTTAAAATCTTGCAGATAAGATAAAGGATGAATCTCTTTAATTTGAATCTGCATTAACAGTCACTTCAGCAGATTATAAAACACAAATTAATTTTGTATACTGATACATAATTAACATCTAAGAAAAGGTTAATCAACTAATATTACAATAGTAATATTACTACAGCCATGCTGGTCTAAGGCTACAAGGCAAAACTGGTAGAGATTACCTCCATCACATGAACAAGAAAAGGTCACAGACACACATGAAAGCATATCCTTTTCCCAGACTACTTCAGTTCACCTAATAGAGCTCTTCTCCTGCTGTACACTTACCTGAAAATGCTTTACTGACGTATCTGCTGCATATGCACTTATATAAGAAGTGTTTCACGCTCCCGTGTACGTTATTGAAGGCTTTGAACTGACAATCAATATGCTTGATACTACCATTGCCTACCTAGCCTACTGGAGAAAATTTTTCCCAGTGACTTCTATAGAAAGGACCTGTGTTACCTATTCTACACATAATTCAATTATCTTAAAATGCACACATTCCTACATTTGGATGAGAGGACAGCAGCTTACATCCATATCAATATTCAAGTGAATAACAGCATTGTACATTAACAGAGAATTGAACAGAAAAAAACCCACAAACCATTTGAAACTGAAAATCATCAAAAAAACATGCCAGCAAATTGCATCCTTAACAATGCTTTCTTTGCAGAAAGTTTGACATCATCATTTTAAAAAAAAGAAAAAAACCCAACAACAAAAAACTCAAGGCAGGAACAGCTCAGACTATTAACAATACAATGCTGTGATACCACCCCAGTGACTCAAATCAAAACTTCACTGAATTTAATGAATTTTTAAACTGCTTCCATGCAACATCAGAAGCATCATAAATCATGTGTGGCTACTACTTTCATTGGGTATCTTAAACAGCAGAGTGTAATCTGCAGCTTTGTAGCTACTGCCCTACAGGATAGCTTTTAGGGGAACAGAAGCAGAAAAAAAAATCCAAAACCAAACCCCAACCTTAGATTAGAAATTGCCAGATGAAAAACAACTGAATACCAACTAAAATGAACTTTTGCAGCCACTCAAACGTAATCTCAAAAGAAAGAAAAAAACAAAAAGAAACCACCTCATACCTGGTGTCATCCAAAGACCACTTCTGCAGAGATCCTAGTTACACACTGCTGTCTTCCCAAATCTCCAATTGCTAAACTGCGCAAGAGGCAATGAAAATAGAGAAATGCCCTCCTAATGTTACTTTGCACAAAAGTAATTGTTGCAACTGACACCTGATGCTGCCAGAGATGTCAAGTGATCACAAAGAACAAGAGTCATGACCCAGGATAGATGGTAAGATGGTAACACAGCATTATCCATCACTTTAAAGCCGTGAAAAGCCTTGCTGCTGTAGCACAGGGTGCTATATTTAACATACTATCATGAAGGACCTGACTATCTGAGAAAGGCAAGACAAACAAAGCTACTTATTAGCAACAATCTGAAGCATCACACAAAAAAGGAGCTTGGATTTCACTGTTTCTTTAGCTAACAAGGCTGCAAAAGCTAAAGCTACATATCTGGGATTTGTGGCACAACAATTCCCACCCTACTCAACTGTGACTCTTCAGCAGTTTTTGTAGTTTGGAGAAATTGGCTAGCTTTCCTTCCCAGGATGTCAGCCACAACAAAGTCATGACAGTGCAACATACAGGATATGATACTACACTTCACTGGGCAGTCCCAGGTGTAAAGAGACTTCTTCCTAAACCACTATATCCTGTCAGTGATGACTATTTATTGCTACACCTTCCCATTGTGCTAGATGCTCCGAGGAGAACAAAGTACAGCACGCAGATGTTTTCAACACATGAATGAACAATCTAATTTACATTAAGGCTTCACAACATTTTAAATCCTAAGACCTAGCTTCTTCAGTTGCTCTCAACTTTACCAAACTTAATCTAAGACGAAACACTGTTACGCTGGATGCCTTCCTCAAGCAGAACGAGATATCTTTTTAACCTGAACCAGTTGAGAGAGAGAGAGAAGGAAAAAAGTTTTGTGTCTAGCACTTTTTGAAAAAGTGAAGACTCCTTTTTTGGAGTCACTCTAGTTGCCTTCAAATTTTGAAGACAAGCTATTTTATTTTTAAAAAAATATATTTTCCTACTTAAGAACAAGTCCTTAACAACATATGAATCCACCTAACCGTGCCTTTAATAGATGGGTCTGGAAGAAAAAAGGCCAAAAAAGTCACCAACAGTTCATGGAGGCTGAGTATATGAAAAGATTTTTTTTTTAATAGTCCATCCTCCACCACCTGAGAGCTGAGTAGACTGCGTACACATCATTCCCATAAAGAAACTGAACATCCTCTAAGTGATCTAAAGCACACATTTTAACTAGCACTCCTTTATTTATGCAAACTTCCTGCTAGCATGCGGACAACATGGAGATGGAAAGCATACAATCTGAATGAAAGGTTGAAGCAAAGGGGGAGAAGGTACAAGACAGACAAAAGAATTTTATAAAGAACTAGGGAGGAAGGACACAAAGACTGTCTGGGCAAAGAAATTCAGAGCTTGGCTCATTTCTGCAGCCCTGTGTCTCCCAAAGCTGAGGAAAGCCTGGATTCTTGGAGTCTGTTCCAAGTGTCTTTGTTGTTCTCACATCGATGAACTCACTGGCAAAACATCCATCTCCTCCAGTGCTAGTCCATTTCCTACTGCCATTGGCATTACTACATTAGTTTAAAAGGCAAAGGTCTATGCAAGTATGTTTCAACCCAACAGATCACGCACGCAGGTAGCAGTAAGAAGTCACACCACGCTGTTACGTTTGCACTAGTTTTATTTTTAACTACATATAGGGCATTAGGGTTGCAAACTCACACACACAAAAACTAAGAAAAGCTACAATTAAGACTGCTTTGTGCAACCTTCATCCACTGCTTTGTGCACTTGTGTTGTTAAGATGGTCTGTACTTAAAATCTCACATTCTATGCTCTTGTGACGGGCCTTATCTAGAAATGAACTGGGAAGAACAAGAGAATGTTTGTTCTACCCTTACTGTCCTACTGGTTTGAAAAGTTAAAGAAACTGTGATACATACAAAGCATGAGACTGCAAAGAGAAAAGGCAAAACAAAACCAGAGAATAAGGCCACCAAAAGCTATCCTTGCCACTGCCACTGAGTTCCTATATGACAGTAGGCCAGTCCCTTCCCCTGCCTTTACAGTTATTTTTTGTATGTTCTTTATTTTACAGATATCTATTTAAATAATCTGCAATCCAATTTGTGTACATACTCAGCATGCCTGGCGGCAATTAGGACCTGTGCTTTAAACATATGAATTGCTTTACACTGTAAAATGCAAATGGAGACAGACAGAACAGTATTTTAATAACATTCCTGCCAAGTGAAGGAAATTCATTATTATTAATGGTGTACTTAGATGTTATGGTGATAACCAGCAAAGGAAGACTCAGGAGTAACTTAATAAATCTGCTCTTTGCAAAGGCTTTAGCTAATACAGTTGAAATGAAACTGGAGCTGCACAGAAAAAAGTATAAAGCTAAATACTAGACAGCAGTGAATTAAATGAATACAATATATCTTAATGCCATGGCCCTACAAAACAAAGAATTATGTGAACATATGCATTCACATCGTTAAAAGATATAGCTACAGTAACTGCTTAAGCTGAGCCACGAACACTGTGCAATTCACACCTCACACACAAAAAAGCCCAACCTGAACAGCAAATCAGGAAATGAGGTTGTGAATAGTCTAAGCGCAGTTATATCCTTACAGAAGCTAGACAAGTCTATGCAACTGCTAAGAAAAAAAATGTGTTAAAAGATGTTACAGATACATTTTAAACACCTGACTTCCCAACAAAAGAGGAAAAAGACACACAAACAACTCTCCCCCCCCAAATATTTACCTTACTGCAGTAAAGCATCCAAAGCTCATACAGCCTCTCTCGGGATGCCATTCCTTCCCTTCCTCTTTTCGTCGATACCAGCTATTTTTGTTCAAGATCCTACCATGCTCAGTTCCCAGGTGCTCTTTCCGCAGTTTTTGCTTTATTATTACAGTTATATCATAACCCGAGAAGAAGTCAAGGATGAAAATAACAGGGTGTCAGTCTCTCCTTTTCGGGTAAACAACGTAGCACAACACAAGCAACTGCAGACAAGCGTCAGGCATGTCCGTTCTTCGCCACCGCTGCTTCGGTTTTAACCTCTGAAAGCGAAAACATACCCTTCAGGCCTTTGGTGGAGGAAGGAAAAAACAAATCCGTACTTAAAGCCCACAGACGACGGCAAGCCGCATTGCTTTCGTCTCTGACGTTATTATCCCTAAGAGGAGAAATCTGGCTTCTCATTTTCGTGGCGCTTTCTCTTTTTTTTGCTGGGAGTCAGCGGGGGCAGGGAAGCAGCAGGGCTGCTGAGACGGGACGCCGGAGCCCTGAGGGCGCGGGGAGAGGCGGCGGTGGTAACGCGGCTTACCCTCCCGCCGGCGGGGAACGGCCGCCTCCCGCACGCCGGG